ACACTAGCTACAGAATAAATGGAAAGACACATGAGAATCTTTCAGGCAGGGGTGAATGAGAATTGCAACGTCATATATATCATCTAAACAAAATCCCTACCTAATGTTAATTGAACAGAAATTTAACAGTTTGATTCAGTGTAGTTATTCATATTTTTCCAGATTATTTTGTCTGGCTCTAGGCAATATCTAGATGTCATTGTAAAAGCCAAAAGAAATTAAGGAAAGGCTGAGGGAGCTGGGCTTGTTTAGCCTGAGGAAGAGAAGGCTGCGAGGGAACCTTGTAAATGCCTATAAATATCTTAAGGGTGGGTGTCAGGAGGATGGGGCCAGACTCTTTTCAGTGGAGCCCAGCAACAGGACAAGGGGCAATGGGCACAAACTGAAGCACAGGAAGTTCCATCTGAACATGAGGAAGAACTTCTTCCCTCTGAGGGTGACGGAGCACTGGAACAGGCTGCCCAGGGAGGTGGTGGAGTCTCCTTCTCTGGAGACATTCAAGACCCGCCTGGACAAGGTCCTCTGCAGCCTGCTGTAGGTGACCCTGCTTCGGCAGGGGGCTTGGACTAGATGACCCACAGAGGTCCCTTCCAACCCCGAACATTCTGTGATTCTGTGGTTCTAATCAGGATGCAGGTTTTCGTGCAATTATGAAGCGAGCAACAGAACACTGAAGAGAGCAATACAAAGAGATTTATGAATTCAAGATGTTCCAGGTTTCTGATGGTCTCACTGACATTGCCTTTAACTAATATCTTGTTATTTTATACAGAGATACCTTCTAGTGATCCACTTTGTAGACCTTAAGGTCAGAAGACTTTATGGATAGAAAACATTGAGAACTTTCACGGTTACTAACATGGCAAAAATGTGTGCTTTACATGTTAGCAATAACCAACAGCTCTGACAAGAGGGAATACATTTCTTACACGTATGAGTATGTATCACAGAATTCAGACATAACAAACAAGTTGCATCTTATAGTCTGTCATACTTCTGAGAAAATGCAAATACATTCTTGCTACATAAATTACTAGCAGCATTTGATAATTTGGGGTGGGTTTTCGATTTCCAAAATCAAGTAACTTTGTATTTTTTCATAAAGTTTGGAGATCTAGGTTACAAATCTGTAGCCAAATTTTTTAAGTTTGAATTTGCACAGACCTTAACCTAGGGATTAAAAACATAGCTCTAATACCACATATATGCAGAAACGGATTTCTGAGGACAAAGATCCTGTTTAACAATCAGCTATTTTCAGTCAAGATTTGTATGTTCAGATAGGCATTTTGTGCCTTTCAGAGTAGCTATAGAAGGATACAGCATTTGTCAAATGGAAAGATGTGAGACTTTTCAGCAATATTGGGCAAAAAACCCTGTGTGATTATTGGAGAAAAATGTTTATTACAGGCCTTGTGTAAATGGGATACACTGAATTATCCATGGAAAACAGAAGGAAAATAGGCACCACTAAAATTAATTCTTTTCCTAGATCATTCATGAAATATTACGCATGCTCAAATAAAGGAAGAGTAACATATGCCAATGTATATATATGCCAAAATGTATATATTGGGTATTTTGATGGGAGTAGAGGTTATTTGTAGATAAATGAAGATATAAAAGCAAAGATTAAATTAATAATCATGGTTGTGCCATAAGGAATAAATATTTTTTCATCAAAGTCTGTCTCTCAAGGGTTTCCAATTCATGTGTCTAAGAGATGACAGACGGTTGAAAAGCTGTGCTTATTTATTTCCATCTTGTAAAATATGCATTCCTTCATCAAAAAAAAAAGAAAAAGGTAAGGACCCTGAGATCCATTCTCTCTGCACTCATCAACGAGGAGGTTTTGGACTCCGTTGCTATGACCACGTTCCTCCAAACTATTCCATGGCACTTCTGTGAGATGCAATATCCACGGCAGGCTCATGCCCCTTTGGCTTTCCGAACGTTCAGGACTCGTATTGCAGAAACACACGTGACTCCCAAGAACTTCTTCAGCCTTGACAGTGATAACAAGAAGGGATCAACAGCACCCTGTGTAATCCTTATAGCTCCATCAAAGATTCCCAAGGTGCATCATAAATCAGGAAACCGCTCGGTCCCCCCTGCCCCGGGCTCCTCGCTTAGTCTGGCAAGAGCACGTCCCGGTTCCCTGCTTGCACGGCTTGCCTGCCCGAGGGCTAGGTGACTTTCTCCTTAACTGTCTTGTTCCCAGGCTCTCCTGCTCTGCATTAGTCTCTCACGAAAGGAAGTGCTTGGGAGACACTTAAAGAGAGGATGGAGCAGCCACAATGCCCGCTGTCTAACGTCAGGCCAGGAGAGCACCTCACCAGCAGCATGGCGGGGACTGAGGGGAGAGACTACAGCTTCGCCCCATCCCCACAGCTGCTGGAACAGAAAAGGACAGTGAAGGTGGCACTTTGCAATCATCCTGTGACAAAGGTGCACCCTCTCTGGGAAGGAGCACTCGTGCAGACAGCATCTACTTCCAAACTGTGCCAGCAGGCTTTTACCCTGTTCTTCACAGCAAAGGGCTTGCGAGTGGGGAGAAAGAGGTTATTTGGCCTTTGCAGAAAGCCTAGGGCACCAGACGAATGTCGAGGGCCAAGTCCTCAGGGAGAAGAAGGAACTTGAAAGAAATCAGAAAAATCAGCAGTTTAGAGCAGAGAATAGGTATTAATAAGAGCCTTCTAAATTACAGTTGTCACAGAAATTAAAAGCATATCAGAGAAACATAAACTGGAAGGAGAAAAAAAATCCCCCTTCCTCATTTTTTTTTTTAATGTCCTCTTTAAAAAAGTATATTCCATCCTTCTCCAGCGGAAGAGGGCGAGAGTTATAAGAACAAAATAAAAATAAAGCAAAAATAAATGCACACAGAAACAGAAGCTGAAACAAATTCAGGGTGGTTACACCCCCCACAAAATGGTGAGGAAATTAAATGCCCACCAAATCTAGCGTGAAGTAAAATTCCCTCACACACTGAAGTGCCACTGAAACTTACTCCATTCATTTTCAAGGGTCTTCCCCATGTTTCAGTCAGCTTAGCGTAAGCCTATTAAAAAATTCTTGAGGCTTCTAAGGGAAAAAAAAAAATAATCAGGACAAATACTGGCCATAACTGATTACAAAGTTCCTGCATTGCATGAAGCCATCCCAGTTGCCCCACTTGTGCTGGGCTTAAGCCTATTTTATTATCTTTTCAATGCACAGCAAAGGCACAATGCTTTTCTCTTGTTGGGAAGACACACTACAGGTACCAACAGCACTTGAAAAATGCAGAGTTCATCAACAAACCCAGAGCTCGGAGAGGCACATTAGCGGTACCTGGGCACAGAGGCTGCCTGAGGCTCCCGCAGCCGTAAGGTGTGTGCAAGAACACGCTTACACAATGAAGACAGTTTGCGTTGAAGATAACATGGTTTATTTCTTCATGATATTCAGATTAAAATGTATCAATGTATTTAGCACAATACTACATTTTAGGACAAAATCATCAGTGCTTTGCAAGTCTTCATAATGTTTATTCATTATAAATAGTAAATATTTACTGAACTTTTTACATGAAAGACATTTATGTTTTTTATTTTTGTTGGGGTTTTTTTGTTGGTTTTTTTGTCTTTTTACAACACGTGTTGTTGTAGAGGCTGCAACACAAAGATAATATTTCATTTTTCCATCAACCCTTAAGACCGATGTGTGAACTAACCTCTGTACTGAACCTAGTCTAACTCACTACTTCATAGTCCTTAACGCTAAAAGGAATGTATTTGTGTTCTGCCTCTCAGTTTGTTCCAAGAATAGAGAGAAATAAATAACACCGCCTTCCATCTTCTTCCTCCTCTCAACATCACAAAACACAAATTTATTGACATTCTAAAATGTCACAATGCAAACTTCTTGTAAACCTTGGTTCCTATAATTATATTTTCTATATTGGATATCACTGTATAATTTAAACAAATATGTCAAATACAGGTCCATTTCTGTCTGTCCTGTACATCACTAAAAAAATGTAAACGTAATAATTTCTTCTTATTGTTTCCTGAAAATGACCTTTAAATCATGATTACCAAGCTGGATTTTAGTTGTCCAGCAGACTGCAACATTTCTGTATTTTATCATCAGGAATTACGCACTGCAAAAATAAAAGTACCTGCAAAAATATAGTTCTGATTCTATCTATATGACTTTGGATGATGCCAAAGTTTGCGTGAGGTACACAGTATTGCACATTGCTAGGCAGTTGTGAAAAATCGGTCATGTTGTTGTTGAATTTTTTCTCTCCCATGTTTGTTTGAAAAGGTACAACAGACTAGGAAAACACATACAAAAAAGTAGAATCTGTTTTTTGTGTTACACAAGATCTTGTCTCTCAGTAAAGCAAAACTTGTAAGTGGCATTTATTGACAACATGATTACAAAAGCACGGTAAGATAACCAGTAAGTTGCTCTGGAAGTCTTTCGCACTTATCCTAGGTTCCTATGGACTGTGACGTTTCCTCTTGATGACAATTTCCAGTGTGTAAAATGAAATAGGTTCTCCTGCCCTTGCTTCAGAAACTGAGCAGTTTTAAGTTTAGACTAAAGTCAGCACTGGATGTCACATAAGTCAGAGTATGCAGAGCTCAACTGCTCTAAGTTTCAAAATGTTCCATTTGTCCCCATCAATACACATTAATTTCAGCAACAAAAAATGGAATGTTTTGCCAGGCAGTAATATTAAATACTGCTTTCTTTTGTATACCCACTCATAATGAACCGTGTCACATTTTATTCATTCATTATTGCTTTTGGCCTTTGTCTTCTGTATAGCTTTGTCCAGCCTTCAAAAGTCTACTAAAAGCTATGACTGGAGAGAACATAACAGGCCTGCTTCTTTAAGCGGGACTGCCCCAGTTTAGACTGCAGTGTGTTGAGAAGATCCCTCGTATCCAAGCCTTGGAGGGAGACCGGAAAACAAGGCCAGCTTTAACTTGAAGTGGACAGTTCATTTATGCAATATCTGGCTTCAGATAATGAAAGGCACCTGCAAAAAAGCAAAAGAAGCTTTTTAAGTCATGCTGTGACAACCTCACAGCATGGGGCCATGCCAACTACAGGTTGACATTGTCATATTTAATACTGATATATCAAAGGAAAGGGACTAATATTTTTATTCCTAGGACAAGTTTGACAAAACTCTACGTATCTGGGATTATATACTGTAATGATTCTTGAGCTGACCTCATTAAGAACATGTGTTTCTAATAGTGGAATGCCAGTGGTTATTTCATTTTGGACAACCCTTATGTTTTACCTAATGGCAATCAGGTTTCATGTCTCAACAATTAATAACATCAAGATGTTGTTGACATCACTTAAGAAAATAATTATGCAGCAGAAATCTTGCTCAAACAATCAGTTATCTCACCAGTGCACTCGGCTTGGCTTTGAGGAGAAATAACAGTCAGCCATTAGGATCTCTGCTCACAACTCCCCTTGTTACGGACAGAAAGCACAGACCGTTGATAAATGGGTACAGTACGGCACTTCACCATGCAAATGTCCCAATACTCACTTTGTCCGTATTGTCCATACTGGTAGCCCGTGACAGGGTCCATGCTGTAACCCGTGGTGCTGTAGGTCGGTGGGCAGTAGGACTGGGATGTAGGCAGGCTGTCTAAGCTCTTCATGTGATCTAGCCGCTGGCTGCAGCTGGCCGAGACAGTGGTGGTGGGCTCCAGGCCCCCAGTTAAAGGGGACAGGGCATAATCAGTTTGGGGCTGGTGAGGCACACCACCGTGGTTAGTCAAGAGTCCCATTACCTAAAAGGTAGAGTAATAGAAAGAGTTAAATTATGTGAAGAACTGTATTGATTACAGAGCCACAGGAGCTCTCAAGTCTATCATTTGATTTCTGAAAATAGGTAGACTTGGTGTTCCAATCGTGCTTTGACTATCTCACCCAAAGAGCAAGTGGAACTCGGTTGCATCATCCACCAAAATAAAAACTGAAAGTGATACCAAAGGCAAATAAGGAAAATAATTTTAAAAATTTTTATGATTTTAGAGTGCCTCATCCCATGTCCCAGCTGGGATCTCTGCAGATGTTTATTCCTCGAGGACTCAATTATAAGAGAATAAAAAGCAAGCAGTGACTCTTTAGCCACGCTGTCCTGCATGATCTACAAACACAGAAAAGCTGTGGAAAAGCTCACACAATTTCCACCCCCCCCCAAGATCAGCAGTCAGTAAAATGAAGCTGATTTGTAGCGGATCCCAGCAACACCGCTGATGGAAGTAACAAAGAATCCCAGCACCCAGAACCACCTGAATATGTGGGGAAGGGGCAGAGCAGCCCTAACTCCTGTTGCTGCGTGCCCTGTGTGCTGGCCTGCGAAGAAATGAATGGCGAAGGAGTGAAGTGCTGGCCGTAACACCAGTTCTCAACTCCACCCACTGCGTTAGAGGACACAACAGAAATGGTCAGGCGTTCCCGACTGGCTTCAAGTCGACTGTGACTCCCTTAATAAGCTGCTTGTATGTGAACAGTTATGAAATCAGCGGTCAAGGTTAGCTGAAAGGAGATTCCTGGAAAATACATGCTTGTCCCTATAAAAGCCCAGCCCTCTAGCCCATGATTCCCAGTAGAATAGCAAAAAAAATTTCAAAAGCATCTATGCTTTCCAGCAAGAGTGAAGAAAGCACAAAAATCACTCACACCGTAGGCTGATGTGCATTTCCTTTCCTGGCACACTGCTATAGCACATTTTGCAAATAAGCACTACTCAGAGAATTGCTCGCTTTTGCTGGAGGAAGTTGCACTGCAAAGCCTGAGAAACAAGTCTGCAGCTTGTAACAAATGGATGGCATACAGCTTCTGCCAAAACAGCATATTCTGATAATTTACAGGTTGTTCTTCCTTCACAAAGGCACTATGAATATCTGACATATGCTATTTGATAATCATTTGGCTTTACTGCACTTCTTACCATAAGCTAAAAAGAAATTATTAAAATTGGAGTCTATTTTGTAAAGAATAAATCTACGCTCTTATGAACATGTCTGGTTCCTAAAGCTCTGATGCTTCTTCTTGAATTGTGTTTCTTTTCCATCACAAAATAAAACAGATTGTTATTGTTATTGTAGGGAGCTTGTGGTCCCAGCTCTGAGTTTTGTTTGTTTTTTAATAAATAAATGAAACACCCCCAGGGATCATGATTTAAATTGGAAGGAAGACCTGTCCAGGTCTTACATGTCTGATAAGGAAAAGAGCAAGAGCCACAAGCAGAGTACTTAAAAAAGCTGAGAAAGAAATTCAGTTATTACTTACAGCACTAGAATGTTCACTTGTTTCACTAAGCAGAAAAACAGGAGTTTAACTGATGGTATTTTCTGAATGTTTCACACATGGAAGTATTCATCCAAAAAGAAATTACAAAATATATCCAAAGACTTCATTTAGATACTGAAATCTTAGAACTTTTAAGTTAAAAACACAAAAAAAGAATTTGGATTCAGGCTAGAAGATATTTTCTATCTAATTCAAATAACCTTTTCAATTCACAAAACCTATTAAAAGGATTTGAGGTTAATAAAAAACAATTTCAATAATCTCTGGAATTTCCACACATTGAAAAATTATGTTATTTGCACAGCAACCTGCACAGCATTTTGTCCCAAAAAACCCTAAAAGTTGAAATAACTGGGCTCTCAACTTTTTCTTCTAAAAAATGGTTCCTGAAAAGTATTAAAAAAAATGGTTCCTGAAAAGTATTAAAACTTCTACAGGTTATATTAGTAAGTTTTTCTGGTTATGAATTCTAGATATTTTTCTTGTACTTTTGGAAAAAGATATAGTCCTGATAATCTAGCATGCTTAACAATCTGATATGGCATCAGCAGGATACCGTATTAGAACCTATGTTCATTTAGATTATATTAATCCTTGTGCTTTAAAATTAACACCAACAGAGTTTAAAAAAAGAGACAGTGCCACAAAAAACACAGCTTAACTTAAACATTTACATTGAAAATTACTGCTTTGGAGAATATTTATGTTGGCACAAGTACCATGGTTTTGACTACCGTTTAAAACACACGTGGTTTATCAGAAATCTGAAATAAGTGCTCAGCCCTTTCCACTCTCGCATAGCACCTATGGGATACCGGTATTTACGGGGCTTTCCACGTTCTGTTCCAAGCTCAAGAGCAGGGAGAAGGGGCTGGGCTCGCATCGCCCTCGCAGCCCCGCTGCAGTCCCCATGGCAATCTTCTCCACATGAGAGCTCTCCCATCACATGCTGTCTCTGTCTGGACTCAAATGCCAAGTTGTGCAAATAGCTATTTTACGCACTACATACTTTAACTAAACTTTTTTCTGTTTAATATTTTAAACAGAATAGAACCCAAGACAACTTTATTTGGACTTTGCCAGCAAAAACAGTGAGCTCAAAAACTTTGGGATTGGAAGTTATTTTAGAGATTAGCCTTGAAATTTAAACCAGGATCCAGACATGATCTCAAAAGCCACTCGAATTTTGGTAGCATCTCAATTTGGATATAGATTTATCATCAAATGCTTATTTTGTCAGAGAAGATTTTTACTTTTAAAATTTTAATTTAATCAGGTAATGAACATCTTTAGGCATCTTTTTATTAAGCACATATGCACCTAATAGACACTTTGGAGCAGAACTGACATAGCTCTCTGTCTCTGAGGTGGAGAAAACTGAACTCTGAACAGTAACCATCTTCTTAGAAATATCCTCTTCAGGGGCCTTCAAAATCATCCTGCAGTTGATTAGCATCTAAATAATTAGATTTTTGGTCATGTCTGTTTTGAAAGCTATAAGGGAAGTAGCCTCAGGGCAGAAGTCTTTTGTACCGTATGTGCCATGACCTTATCACCCATACAAGGAGTTACAGGAAGGGCATGGCTGACTTTCACCTAATCAATTAGAAAGCCATTAATGGGCCATGGCTGCAAGATGCTCAGCACCCTCAGCTTAGTCATGTACAAGAGACACACAAAGATCTGGATTTTGCAACTCAGATCTTCTGCTGATATAAAACAGTATAGTTCTAAACAGGTGAACAGATCTGATTGTTTTACAATAATTAAGGAAGAAAATAAATTTATTCGATCCATATGCTATTCAAATTACTAGAAAATATGTACTTCTCTCTGAATTCCTTCGGGAAAGCCAAAGTAGTAATTGTCAGCCTTGCTGATCTGTATCCCAAAGAAGTTGAAAGAAAAATCAAGGACTGAGGTAACACCTAGAACCAAATGCTGCTGTAACTATTCAATTTATTTTAGAAAAGAACTCCTATAAAGGCAGAAAAAATCAGGCTGTAAGTTTTTGGCCACATATATTTTGTTCTCATCTTTTAAAAAAAACACAGAATGTTGACACAGAGTCTTTGAGCTTATACAATAAAAGACAGTATACAAAATCAATGAAATTGTTCTGTTCTATTAGAAAACAAAGGTGCAATTAGGAATAAGCGAAGAGAATGCAGCAAACTGCAATGACCAAACTCTACAGAAAAGTTTTCAGAGAGCACATCCCAAGCAAACCAAAATATTAATGAGGACAAATCCCTTGCTGGTGGGGTCAGCACAGCATCACCAGCTGAGAATATGATCCAGAAAGAAGAGGAGAAATTGAATGATGAAAGCCCTAAACACCATGTATGCAACATCTGGTCCATTATCAGCTATTAGAAAATACTTCTATTATCAACAAAATAAAGGCCATTAAACTGAGAAAAATCTTATTCTATTTAAATGAAACATTATGCCTGTTAATGTGGTTGGTATATTAGGATGTAGGACCTACCATAGGCACAATAAAATTCTCATATGTTTTAATTCATTTACGCATGCCTGCATTTAATATGCTTTGTGACCATGTCTGCAATTAATATGATTTATGAGAAAAGAACATGTGCAATATTTTTTGGGTACAGTGATACATTTTCTCCTCCTGTGAATGAAAGATTTAATGAAACAGCTCAAGGAAAATTGTTGGCAGTTAAAGTATTAAGTTGAACTGACAGAATCATGAGTAAACTTTAGTGGAGTTAATGATATCCTCTTATCTGACCCTGACACATTTGCAGCATGTAATTTACAGAAGCTCTGTCCAGGGAATCTTGACAAATGCTCCTAACGATGTCAGGGCAATGTTCCATTCTAATGTAAACCAGATGTGGGTCAGATACCCTCATTCATCACTAACACTGAAAATTTCAAACTCCTCCTGAGATGAATGGCATTACCTGCTGTTCACTCTTTTCACTGTAGAAAAATATCTCAAACAAAATATTGCACAAGAAAACACAAAAATGATGGTTCTTATGCATTAGAACGAGATATTTTAGATTAATTACAATTAATTAGCTACACGGATCTACACCTACAGGATCCTAGAACCATGTCGCTGATTCGTTTTACATATATATTTCTGCCAAACAGATGAGGAAACCTAACAGAAAGCATTTTCATGCCAAATGGCAAGCACTGGGAGCCACGTACTTGCTTACTGAAAATAGGAGCAAATACACTGACTTTGAACATCTGATGATCTGACCATCTTCATACTCGTATCAGATGAGACCCCATACTGATTTCACACCACCAGATATCAGTGGTAGCTATACTGAAATTAGAGAAGGTGCACTGGTGTACATTTAGGGCAATTAAGAGGATAACTTGATCCTTCATTAACTATATTTTTATCTACAGATCACTAGTGTTCACAACATTATCACAGCCTGTCAATGAACTCGTGTCTTTTTTCAGGTGCCAGATCATGGAG